GCTCCATAACTCCAACCCACTTCAAAGAAAGCGTTACTAAAGAAAAGTTCAGTGGTGGTTCACTAACTCGTGATAAGTTAAAAGTGCTTTGTTTATTCACAGGGTGAAGAAGGAAGTCAAAATGAACTCCTCGTTGGTCGAGCCCTTAGCTGTGAACTTGACGGTCAACTTCAATGCGGAGACATCCCATGTGATGGTGCCGCCATCAGAGCCTGTAGACGTGGACACAGGAAACAGTGGCTGCGTTTACTGCTTAACGAAAGTTGTGCATCCACGGTTGGGAAGGGGCGAATCGTACGCCTGCGGATACAAACCCTACCGCTGTGAAATCTGCAATTACTCGACTGTGACTAAAGGCAATCTAGCCATTCATGAACAATCGGACAGACATTTGAACAACTTACAGGTGAATGACCCATCAGAGAAAGGGCATGGATTGGGAACATACTAAAGAGACTCGCTATTTTCTATTTTTAAATAAATAGATGTTAAAAAAATGTTAAGTTCATTTTGGAACTCGTCTTTAATGCTTATGGCAAGCAATTGGGTTGAACCACAATCGTCGCTACAACAATTGTTGTCCTTTATAGCTGACAGGAAAATTAACATGACTGACAGATTTAATGATTGTTTCTTGTAGGAATATGATCAACAACAAAAACTACAATGCGTTCACAAATCCAGTGGACAAGGTACAGTAAACGCATCAGTTAGTAATTCGCCAACGCCAGTGCATTGTAATTCGCTCGCCGCCATTAGTCTCTTCCCTCAGGCCTATTTTGCCTTCCTTGAAGCCTTCAGCCAAAAAGGTGGTACTTGCCAAGTGAACGACTATAGTACCGATCTCCTTGAGGTGGCTGATCACACACTCTTCTGTCAGATCTGTGGTGTTTACGGCACGGATAGTGTGGAGGAACTGATCAGTCATGCGGAACTGAATCGCATTCCCACAAACCTTGATTCACTCAATCAGCAGCTGACTATCCACATGTCAGGGACCTGGCACTGCAATCTTTGTGCATATAGAAGTCCTTTAAAGGCAAATTTCCAGCTTCATTGCAAAACAGAGAAGCACGCGCAGCGACTGAGCCTCCTGCTTCACATGTGGGAGGGCAAAGATGGGGGAACGGGAGCAAATCTTCCCACTAATAACCTCATCTTCTCTCCCTCTCCGAGGAGTAGCTTGTACTGCCAGCTTCGTTGTCTACCCTGTGGTTTCTTTACTTGCTCTGTGCACAAAATGCGAGTTCATTGTCAGACACCGTTGCACAGTTTTCTCGCAGGCGTCTTTGGCATTGTGGTAAGGCGAAGAAGTCAATTGAAGTTGTCACTTATGACGGCTGCCGAGGGAGAGAGTTCTGCTAACCGTGCGCGGGTTATCTACGCTTGTCGTAGGTGTGAGATGACTTGCACTTCTTTAACAAAGCTGATGCAGCACTTTCAATCGGCGGATTTCCACGTAAGTCCTTCTGGAGGTTATTTTAAGTGCTCCCTTAAATATCACAGATTTACAAAACCGAGTTGTTCTGCTGAGGAGCAAAGCCATATAGTGAATGAAATTGTACTCGACATATTCAGAAACACTAATTGCTATTCAATAAAAATAAGTAAATCTACAGAGAGTGCGCCTTTGGAATTGCAGTATGAACATCGAAAAGCGTTGGCCAAACGCATTTTCAAGTATGCGACTAAAGCGACGATCGAAAGGTATTTTATTGCAGCCTCCACCTTGACACATTTTCAGGATCATCTCGGCCAATATCCCCCCGAACCGGATGAGGTGGCCGTGGTCTGGGATTTTGATAGACAGAGTGGAACGCAGAACGGTTTTGCAGTACTGACAGAAAATTCACAAGTACTTCAAAGTAAGTTACACCTGACGACAGAAGAAAAGGAACTGAATCGCGTTAGGGGAGAAAAATGGAGGAGCTTAAGCTAGCTCATGGTACGCTTTGAAAAAAGACGATAGCAGCTTGCTAATATACGCCATTGTGTTAGACCACAGCCCTTTTTATTGAAACGAATACTTTCTAAAAGGAAAAAACAAATACCTGGTTTTCATGCAAATTGTTGCGCCACAACCATTTAGGACGAGATTGTTGTCCCATCTTGAGTTGGAATTTTATCTTGACGCAAGATTAGGGAAACCCAATTGTAATAATTATATTAATACAAATACTTGTGATCAAACAAATACTTGAACTTCACTAACTTTATTATTTTGCGATTACTGTGAAAGCGGTTGTAAGAGCAGGATTTTCGCATCGATTCCCCAACTAAAGGAATGAGCATTGGAGAATGTTTTTCAGCCAGACCATGTCTCAGCACATTGTTGAGAGTGTATTGACATGCGCAACGAGAAGCTCATTTTGCCCATTTTTGTAATTTAGAATCAGGTGCATGCCACAAGGATGCAGACTGTGGCGCGAACGGCCTCACTATAGCACCCCTTTTAGTTTCACCTCAATCTGAAAGTGGAGTAAGTTTGGGTGAACATCTCTACTATTTATTACATCAACAATGAACGGTGCCCCCCACCTCCACCTAAAGATGGAGGCAAGCATTAGCTGTTCGGTCAGCCCTCCCCAAATCCACCATAGACGCAAACAACTTAATGCTTCATTTGCAAGTCATGTTCATTTACTATCAAGTAAATCCACTTACACCTCCACCTTTCTACATGAGCTTACTTTCAACAATTGGGCTTGATTGAGGAATTATGATTTTAGAAGGAAAATTGTTTCTATGGCAGGTTGCTAAAAATATGCCTACAGATTGAAAGTTACAGAGCTTGCAATGCATCCATCGAAACGTACTTTCCGTATCATTTGCTTTGCATGTTGGTTTAGAACCAGGCTTCAGCATTGTCTTGCTTATTTGCTTGACTTAAATCCTCATTGGCTCGATCCACTTTGACTGTGGGGTCGAATACATCTTTGTGCCTTTTTAATGCCTGCGTCCAAGCTTGCAATGTTGAAACGTGGAAGTGGAGATGTAAATAAGAACAAAGCACAGTAGATGTTTATTATTAAAAAATTTACCTAAGCGTATCAAGAGAATAGGTTCTCTACTCATGCAAGCCATATTATATAGGTATGTTGGTGTCTCTCGAACCTTTCATGAGGTTAAGGGTGACAACACCGGAGTACGCCATGCAGTGCTGCTCACCAACAGACTGAGCGAGCACCTGGAATGCATCAGTACTACAAGGACGGAACTGTGAGGAGTTTAACGCATGTAGGAGAGTGCTAACACGGTTCTCTGCCAAAGTTCTTATAATTCCTGGTCAAACGCATAAGTACTTAGAAGAACATCGAGTCATCCGATTGGCGCCATAGGAATTGTAGTTAGGTAGAAAAAACAGCACTACTTTGATATCAATGCCTCCGCCCACGGGGAGATTAGCATTTTTTACAATATTTAGTTAAGGAAGCTCGTCCAACTTGTTATGGGCACACAGCTCCTTACATTTGCATTTACATTTGCAATACAATGACATTTCAAAGCGAAAATGTCCCATCACTAAAACAAGGCACACCAGTAAAACAATCTTATAATCCCTACAGGGCATTATAAAGGGTTTTTGGTATGCATATTGTCAGGCGAACTTTCTTAAATTTCATCACACAATCAATTAAAACTGAACAGCCACTTGTACGGTAATTAAACTCGGATGCGCCATTTACAGTAATGTACGAGTTTTTAAGTGAGCGTCATTGAGACTGATAGCTCCGTATTTATGGCAACTGACTTTAAAGTGGTCGCGATTTCGCATGAACAAAGCCAAGCAAGTCCTTCCCTTACCGGTAAATCGCGCGCTCATTAAAATCCTGTTCGCTTTCAGGCAACGTCGTTGAAACGACTTGAACTAAGGCGATCCAATTCGATGGGTAAGTGGAGAAAAAAAGTTAGACTTTTTAAAACCTTTGACTATAACACTATACGACGACCGCAATCTTAGTGTTAAATGCTGCAAAGGATGACGAAGAAAGCAAGATTCAGAGACACTCAGCTCCACCGACAATCAGTGTCGAAATTCCACTTACTCCAAATCAAAGGTAAGAACTGCTACATCTTGTTGCATTATTTATTTGAGACATTTGCCCTGTAAAAAGAGGACCTCATTATATATTTTGTGGCTAGGGCTAAAGAGACCCTAAATTTAACGACCATATCATTATTATTGCGGATTTTCGCCAAACATTTTGCAACAACTGCCCGACATTAATAAGCAGAGTAATTTAAATGCACCGATTGTAATCCAGAAAACACAAGCAGTCAGTTGTAAATGAGCGCTGAAGTGAAAATTTTGCCTAAAATGCGCTACTTTGTGAGGTCGCTGAATCTTCACACAGGCCACGCCGTTCAGACAAAGATTCATGCTAGACGTCCTACTTAAAAGGAGTGAGTCGCAATTCACATTTGAATTCAGTGGACAGAAAAGAACAACTGACCGCATTCTTATGCTTAAGAGTAGTGATAATCGCCTGTCAATCGTACGGACAAATGATAAAGTTTAGCTCCGATGTCACCTCCAATAAATTAAAAATCATCTTCAAGACAAGGCTTGAGGATGAGTCAAGAATGATGGAGTGAAAGTGGGATAAAAATTTATTTTTTCGGATACTGCTTGATGCCAATTCCGCAATAAGGGAGATATGAGAGTTGTATAGCCTTTTGAAAAGTAAACAGAGATTTTAAATGAGTTTGTTTCCCTGGATTTAGCCTTGATTTTCTTTTATGCTTAATAAGAAGGTCAACGAATGTTTTCCTTCGGAAACTCCTAAAGTAGCTTAGTCAATGGTTTTTATCATTTTTCCCATTGCAGAAACACGAGTAGCGAATGTGGCAACGGTGTCGACGTGTCAACTATGAATGATGCTCAAGTAAGCGGCTGATGGGAACATTTTGATCGTGTTTACACACCCTTTGTATCGCCATTAAATGCTGAGAGTTCCTGCGACACAAAACCCTCCTTCTTTAGCACAAGGCTCATCACGCATAAGTCTCTTGTATTTAGAGGGATAATTTTGCCAATCTGTTGTCTTGCATAAACCTAATGTAGCTGCAGAAAATTCACTCCAAGATAATTTTAATGAAGTAAATATAGTTAGTGACACACCAATGATTTATAGATGTACATTATTTTATTTCCTTATTTCATAATGCAGCAAATTGGCAGATTAAGAGAGAGTTACTAATGAGAGACGATACTTAGTTAGTGATTATAACGGGAGACGCTCAGCCTTAAACCAAGAAAGCTAATTCGATGGTCTTGTAGCACGAAAACATTCACACTGGCATCAGCCAACGCATATATCAGTAAATGGTAACCTAACTTGTCATAGTGATTCTCACGCCATGCATTTACCTGGCGTTTAAGGCTAGGTGGGATGGATTTTGTGTGAGAATCGTTCAAAAGACGGTATCACTTTCAAAGCTCCGTCGGGAACAAAGGAAATTTGAACCAGACATGTTTAAGGGGAACATAAATAGTGAGTAATCCGTCCAAAGTGTTTGGTTAAGCTGGGTTTAGCTAATAGTCTGTAAAAGAGCTTTTATCCAGGTATAAACAAACAAACAAACAAACACTGTGTAAGTTGAATTTTAGATGTCGCAGTCACAGCTTGCCAGTGCAACTCATCAGACTGTGACAGATGGCGAGAACGAGCGCTGCAGGTGAGTCTAAAGTCATCGCCTCCCGGTGCCATTACCTTGATTAATTGCTTGCTTCAGGACTGAGAAAACACGAACACCATTACGCTAATACATTTGAGGAACGAAGTGTGAATTCTAAGCTTGCTGCGGCGAAATTATCGCTTGAGAGCTTTTAAGGGGCACCTTTTTGCAAGTCAGTTGCAGTATTTGTGTAAGCATTTCAATGAAATTCCCATATGGGGCAAAAAAAGCCTCTCTTAAGTGATTTTGCCTGTCCGTTAGCATAATTGCATTGAGGCCATTGACGAATGCCGTCGTTGGGATTACGGGCAATGCCCATTCACTAACTCCACTCCATAGTCATGTTTTTCTGCGTTCAGGGGCTGCGTTGAGCTGCAAAGCGCATTCTATGCAGTGACAAAGAGGCAGACTAGAACCAATGTAATTGTACTCATGCAAGTGAAGTCACCCATGACATTTTCCGTTTGAAATGTTTGCGAGTGTTTATTGCTATGAGCTCGAATAGGCGAATATGCAATTAAAGCTAACGCGCTTATGCGGGCCACTTTTAATTAGGCTTCGCACGCACCCATACCCACATCATAATAGACTGACTGATGGTAGAGTGATTCCGCCTAAGGGATGCAGCCATTTCGGTCTTGACACTGAGATACTGAAGGCACAATCAACTTTAGAAGGAATGGCAAATCGTTCAAAGTCGCATCAATCATCCGTACACTTAAATAATTACTTAACTCGGTCAACTACGCAGCAAGCAGAAGGAAAACAGGTGGTTCTGTGAATTCTCCCAGCCTACAGATAACGCCTAAGCCTTAAAAACAATGTGACAGTCGGTCCGTATAGGTAAATTGAAGAGAAGTCTATGAGTCTCTGTGTGGTCCCATTGAGTCATATTTTACGATTTCTCACACGGACTCCATTACTAGGGGTGAATGTGTTAATGCTTATTAGTTTCTGTCGGCGGTTTGAAGAGTGCTTTGACTGAGCCTTTAGAGAGGTTTTGGTATTCTTGCCAAAATTATTAATTATTGCAACACCATCTGATTGTGGCGCATGACCTTCGCAGAACCTTTAAGCCAGTGGATGGTAAAACGGGAAGGCTGTTGCTAACACATCTCAAATGCTCGTTATAAGTGGACATTTTTATGAGGAAGGATGGAAGTGATGCGCACTTACACTAAACCACCTTCTATTTGATAAGAAGAATCACTCAAGCAAAATACCAGAATTCTCCAAAATAACTGCAGAAGTCGTGTGCGCGCAAAAGCATTTGCTGGAAAAATTTCAGAATGGTAGGAATGAGAACTGGTGACACTTATTATTCATAAAGATTTATTGTGACGCAGAACTCCTTCAACGAACTGCATTGCTGCTTTCCGATGATTAACTGTTATTTTGAAGGATTACACTAGGTGCGTTGAAAGTTTTGTCTTTTAAATATACCACCTGCATGCCCTCATTCCTGGCGGCAGCCTTTGAGACGGTGAATTGTTTCAGTGTCAACCGTGTACCAATCAATGAGTTGAGTCCTGCCACTGATGACCATAGTATTTCATTTGTCAAAATAATTGGATTGATCGGCGGCTCTTTGATTGGAAGTAACGTCTTCACGAATGCTGCAAGTTTAATTATGAACTTGCGCTTGCCCTGTGTGAAAAGATACTGTCGGCAGCTCAAACACACACACACACACATATAAGATGAGTTCCCTCTCCATTTAAAAAGATACTTAAGAAGAATGGGGAGTGTAACAGTTGCAGAATATGTAAAATGGATTCTAAAATTTGGCTCCTATTGTGTGATTAGGGAAAAATTTTTGAAGCAGTAGCTCAAGCTGCGGATGCAAGACTGGGCAGCTTCTTAATTTAAGGATGTTTTGAAAGTGAAGCAGTATAGAGATTGCTTCCTTTATCTATAGGAGCGATGTAGCGTGTTAAGTCGAATTCTATTCTTTAAAACCGAATAGGACAACCTCTGCAACTACCACCATCGGCAACCACGACTCATTGTTCACTCTTGCTGTAAATTAGGGATGTCACTTTAAAGTATGCAAGTGGGACTGTCCGTTCCTACCTTCCAGGCACACAAATGTGCTTTCTGGTTGAGGTGAAATGTCGAAACATAATATGATCCTAATTTTTTTGAGATTGTATAAAATAAGCACCATTTTTATCAATGATAATTTTCAGTTGGATTGAATCGTGAGTACCTGCCCTTGTGCTTCTTTCTTTAAAAGTCATAAAGCAGTGGATATTGCACCTATGTCATCTACTTCAGTATGTAGAGGGCATTTGGTATCTCATCATTCCATTCAACTCGGAAGGCAGTTTTGCAGTCGGTCTTTACGCATATTAATCTACTCGCTAAATAACCCTACATGGTCGCTGAAATGCTTGGATGACTTGTCCCATTGATGCCCCTTACGCCACTTAAAACTGCACTTTTAGCGTCCCTTTTCCGAGGCTCAAAGACGCACAGCGGAACTTTGGCCTCTAGATGCCTCTCTTCATTGACCTGACTTTCCTCGTAGATAGGAATTCAAATTATGGGTGGTGGAAGCCCGACAATTTCCTCACTTCAATGCCATTGGTGCTAAGTGGATAATATGTTGGGACTGTCTCAACTACAATCCGGGGATACACACGCTTGCAAACTTTACTAAAATTCGGAACGAAAAGTGGTACGGGCATGTGTAAAATTATACTCAATCAAGAATAACATACATCAGAGCTTCATGACATTGACTTTCTCGCTCTCTTCCCAAGTTTTTTGCATCATAAAACATGCTTTAGTAGAAAAGATGATATTTTATCCGCCCTATTTGTAATTTCTATCACAGCGCACTTCTTTTGCAAGAAGAACAGTGCAGGGCGCTCGAAATTGTGAGTCTAACATCCACAACACTGAAGCAAACTTCGAGTTCAGATCTACGTTAACTTAGTTTCTGTAATTCGTTTGAGTTCTGCCCTTCGAGAACGCTGTTATATCTCTAGTGCATGGTTTCACTCTCTTGATCGGCGGGACAATCTCACACTGTCCATGTTCGTAGACCTACTAGCCTTTCAGTTGCATGAGCGATATTGAGAAGGGAACAAAAAGTCACTTCTCGAGACGAAGATTTTCTCAGCCTTGACAATTTCCGTTCCCGTTTGTCCTGTTTTGCGCTTGCATCCATGCGTGTCTGGAGGAATGGAATTTGGCAAATACCATTTAAGGGTGGCAGATAATCAGCCTTTAAAAGCGGTACTATTCTGGTGGCGACAGCGCGTTGAAACACGCGAGCACCATGGCGCGCCAATATAATGACATCTCCTGAGTTTAATAGCTCATTTCACCATTCTACTCAGTTGATACGTAAGTCTTCCAAAGCTATGTTGCTGCTCTCTGCTTCATTCCGACTGTACCATTAAATGAAGCTTTACACCCCTTCTTTAGAGACGCTTCTTTTTTTCGACTTTCCGAACCAGTGTTACACGATACTCTTATGCACTAGTTATTTTATGAGTACAGGATCCACATCCCTTTTAATACCCTTTTAATACGTGCATTATTTATACTTCATGTCTTACGACGGAGAGACAAGCTTTACAATACCCTGAGGTGTATTTTAAAAGGGTAGTAGTTTAAATACTAATTTAAAAGCCTTAAATTCGGCTGTACAGTTAATAAAGGGATGCATCAGCCCGACAGACCACGTAAGTACATTAACACACGTGTGCATAGCCAGGAAAGGGCTAATTTTCGGTCACTGAATCGTAAAATGAATCACTCCATCGTAATGTAGGCATCTGTTGTTTATGGAGCAGTGAAATGCACCAGAATTTGTCAGCGTGATTGAGCATCACCAGTGCGCAAAAGATCGGCCAAACTAAAAAGTATTTGAGCATTATGGCGACAATATTGTGAGCTGACACTTGGAGGCTAATCTAATCAGGTGCGTCTTCAGAGATGGTGATTCAGTTGTTTGTGATGCCAGGATTACATTGTCTTATAGCCAAGATGCTTTGCACTGCTGGTTATGGAAATTGTAGTGCCTGACAAGTGCGAAAAAGGAATTGTTTAACTAAAGAATTATCTGTTTCTTGTGAATTTGCTGAATTTTTAGAAGAAACTGATACTGTGTGGACGATATTATCCCAAGCTTTAATGTGACATGTGTCAATTTGTGCTGATGCATTTCCGCCCTTCGGTTATGGTTGCGCGATAATTACCGCACTATGAGAGTAGTGATGTGCGAAAAACGCGATGTTTGCTAATATGGCAGCTTTTGACACACATTTTCGTATGCGCTGATGATAAACATCATTCACCAATCACAAGATGGCAGGCATGTCGAGTGTCAATCTGTCCGACTGACAGCCTTTTGGGAAAAATCGTTCTACCACCACCCTGTCCTTTCATAATATAAACAAGCACGTGCACATTGACGATCGCATTTCATCCCTTTTCTACAGGATGCATGTCACTGCCGACCCACTTTCCTCGTGGCTGAACTGCCTTAATATGCAAAACTCCGAACTGCTTCAAGAACTCGTGAGGTTGATTGATGCACAAAAACAGCAGACTATTGCTCCACGAACATGCGACAGCCTATTTGCTTGGTTTGGTGCGGACAATTCGTTCTACTCTTTTATAATATGCTGGTTAAAATATCAATTTCCTCAAATAGACAGCAGTGTCTCCAACGAGTTAGTTGCACTTATTCTTGAGCTGATTGCGCACCAGCCTAATGTCTCGGGACGGTTTATGGATTTGCGAGAGCTGCAACAACAGCAAGCTTTTGGCATATGCCAACAGTGTTCTACACCACGACCATTTCTTCTGCCCTCATCCGCAAGCCTTCATTTTAACATCCACCACAACGAGGAATTACCCGCCCTAGTTCTCGAAGCTGTTGAAAAGATGGAAAACACGGTGATAGAGTTTGTTCGCATCCTTGAGCCACAACAGAATCAAGTGTCTCCGATGAAAAGAGCACGCACTCGACTATCATTAAATCAATTGGAAGTCCTCCGATCTAATTTCTGCCATACAAATCAACTCACTGAGGCCACAGTTACAGATATTTGTGAGAAGACAGGACTAAAAGAAAAAGTCGTAAAACATTGGTTTCGGAATACCTTCTTTAAGGAGCGACAGCGATTTAAGGAGGATCCCTCAAATGTGGACATTTCCCAAACTCCTGCTGATCAGTCATCCACCACTGAACATGTAGATGAAGTGGGGATAGTGGATCGAGCCTCAAAGCCACCATCTTCCACGAAGAGATTCCGAACGCCCATTTCCTCACTTCAGCAGGCTGTACTTTTACAATACTTCCAAGCTGATCAAAATCCAAGCAGGCGGCAAATGGACATTATATCGAGCAAAGTCAACCTGCCAAAACGCGTTGTACAGGTAAAATTTGATCTATTCGAGTAGTTACTAATATTTGCCTAAATTCAGACTACATGAAATATATACACATCATACTTATGGTAATTTAAAGATAAGCTTTACCTATAATGATATTTTGATGGATCCATTAACTGTGCAGGGAAGTTATATAAATAATTAACTTAACATTGATTGAATAGGTGTGGTTCCAGAATGCTAGATCTCGGGAACGTCGAATGTTTGTGAAATATGCTCCACATCACTCCCAACCAACGAAGCCAAATTTGTTTCCACCGCAGTTTCCAACACCTTCATGGCAATCTGGAGAAGGTTCTACCCAAGCAACATCTATCAGCGAACCAAAGTGCTTAGTTTCAAGCACAAATATTACGAGTTCCACGGCTGTCCCAGCATCCGTCGATAGGTTACAACAAATATTCAATAGAATCTTTACTCAGATGCCTCCTCTTGGAATCCTACAGCTGCCTGATACAGCAACTGGACAGCCATCATTACCATCATCATCAACCTCAAAAATGACCTTACAACCTTCCGAAAGTATCGATATGGATTCGCCTCTCGATCTGTCCACCGTTTCGTACAGATCCAGTGACCATCAGTCGCGCGCCTTTCAAAATCGAAGCCCTCATGCGGGTAGTGCAGCCACTGTTAACGAGACAAGGTCTGACAACTTTTGCCGACGAAATCGCACTAGCATCAGTTCCACTCAGGCACGATTTATGCAGTGGTTTTTCCAGCACCACAAGACTCCAACCATCTGTGAGTGTGAAAATATTGGCCGTGCGATAGGTCTCAGCAGACGAGTTGTGCAAGTGTGGTTTCAAAATCAACGTGCCAAAGGGAAGAAATTAGCACGTGCAACAACCATCTGCAGCGAGGCCTCACTGCATCAGCCAAGAGTCGATCCTCAGGTTCTGCTAGAAGGAAACGAGTGCAAACTCTGCGATGTAAAAATTACGCGCATGGGCGAGGAGGACACTGCAGCAGTTACCGAACACATTTTCTCAAAGATTCACATTGACCGACTCTTTGCTACTATCTGTCAGGGTGATTCGTGGTCCGTTGAAAAAAGGCAAAATTGCTTACCCGAACCAAAACTCGAATAACCTCTTTCCCTTCCCACTCCCTCTCACTTTAGTGGTCTCTACTGTCTCATTGCTGATGAACAAGATGCTCATGCCTAATAGTTTGACTTATTATTCAATGGACAAG